AAACTGTCAACAGAACCTAGAGACACAGAACCTACATGGCAAGAGAACCTGACTAGAACCTGGCTGGAGAACCTAGCGAGGGAACATGGCTACAGAACCTGGCTAGAGAACCTGTAGAACCTGGCTGGAGAACCTAGCAAGAGAACATGGACACAGAACCTGGCTGGAGATCCTAACCAGAACTTCGCTGGATATCCTGACCAGAACTTGGCTAGAGGAACCTGGCTATGATGATCACCCGATGGCTGCCTCCGTGTCAAGAGAACCTGACTAGAACTTGGACAGAACCTGGCTGGAGAACCTAGCGAGGGAACATGGCTACAGAACCTGGCTGGAGATCCTGACAAGAGAACCCAACTATGCTGATGAACTGAACACTGCCTCTGTGCCATTCATTCCTTCTTCGCCGACTCCGTCCACACCTTTGGGGACCCCTGGACCCGCTGGGGTTGGACCCCGGCAGGCATGTGCCTGGGTTGCGGGCACATTCCCAGTGGGAGATGTGCAGGAGGCAGCTGATCGGTGTTTCTAACTCTCTATCTCTCTACCTTCCTCTCTGTAAAAAAATCAATAAAATATATTTTTTTAAAAAAAGAAGCATTAAAAGTTAAGATGGTGCAGGGTTGAGCTTGTTTAAAGAAAGGCTAAGGATGTGGTGTATATATACACAATTCAGCCATAAAAAGGAATGAAATCTTGTCATTTGCAACAACAAAAATGGCCCTTGATGGGATTATTCCAATTGAAAAAAAGTCAGACAATGACAAATACCATATCTAACTTATATGTGGAATCTAAAAACTAAAACAAAACTCCTCCCCCAAAGCAAAACAAGCTCTTAGATACAGAGAATATATTGGTGGTAGCCAGAGGTGGGGGGCAGGGGTGCCGAAATGGGTGAAAGGAATCAAAAGGTAGCAACTTCCAGTAATAAAATAAGTCATAGGGATGACATGTACAGCATGGTGAATATAGTTAATAATACAATATTGCATATTTGAAAGTGGCTAGGGGAGTTTGCCTTACAAGAAAAAATTCTGTAACTATGTATGGTGACAGATGTTAATTGTGGTGATCATTGTGCAATATATACAATATTGAACCATTCTGATGTACACCTGAAACTAATATAATGTTGTATGTCAATTATATCTCAAGAAAACAAAAGGCTAAGGTGGAAGCCAGTGAGGTCCTGAGACTAGTCATGATGTTCCAGAGCAATTGCAAGGCATCCTGTTTCAATGGCTTCAAAGGTTTCTTCAACAGTGTTGGTAAGAGAAACAAATAGCAACTCTGTGAATTAGATGTCATTAAAAACACTCAGAAAATGGCTAAGGAGCTTGTCATATTGCCCCTGGCTGTAGCCACAGTGGCAGAGCTGTGCTCCTCAAAACTAAACACTGGCACTGAAATACCTCACAGACAGCAAAATTAATTTCCTGATTGTTAATACCAAACAGCAATTACAATCAACATCTTTTTTATTGTCCTTAAAATAAGTTAGGCAGTGATTTATGTAACTGGCTGGCTAAAAGAACAAGAGAAACTCATCAAATGAAAACAATTCCTCAGAACCCAGAAATCTACCAAAAGCCAGACTGTGTAGTGTAGCCTATGCTTCTTTATCTTAGGAAAGCATTTAACCCTTAAACGGTTGCCTCTGTCAGTATTTCTAGGCACCTACTGCCCGGCTAACTCATCTGGGTGCTGTTGCACCAACTAGCCCTACCTTTTTCATTTTCCAGCTAATTCTGAATGACCCAGATCCGCTGATCCTTCAAGGCCCACCTCAAAAGTCACTTCCTTTATGATCCCCTTTTGGGGATCATAACCATAACAAAACCCCTAACAGGTGGTAACGCCATGTGCAATTAATTCCTGCCACAGTCTATAGCCTAGTTCTTTCTCTAAGTTCTTTGCCGGCAGAAGCTATACTTGCACTTAGGTCTGTTGTTTTCTCTGCCCTGCAGCTGCAGGTAGAGCCCAAACAGATGAAGGTGGGCTCCGTGGGCAGCTAGCGATCTCAGCACCCAGAAGTGGGCGGCAGCCAATGCCAGTCCACCGCAATGAGGCCACAGAAACTCTTCCGCTACCTTCACTAAGAAACCAACACACTGCCTCCTCACTCCTAGACGGTAAATTAGCTTGGAGTCATGGAGTATAATATATATCTTGGTTGCACAACAGGTCTATTTCCTTCCAAAGCCCGGAGATGGGATGAGGAAGCAGGAAGCTGCCCTTATCCTTCAAGCACTGAGGGAGCATTCATCTACAGATGGGACACAAATGCGCAGACCCCAAGCTGACCCAAAAAAGTGCTACAGGGACCACTGACTGACCAAAGACTCATCACCAGCCTTGCAGTTTCCCCTCCCACTACCTCCCACAGCGGCTCACCGAGGAGTCGGGAGAGCAGCAGTTCAGGACGAGCCACAATCCCCCCGGCCAAAGCAGGCTGCAAAGAAGCCCATCCTTCCTCACTCAGTGGGGCTGCGATCTGCTCGTGGGGAGCTCAACTACAGACATCTGGTTCTCCAGCACAGGCCTCCTCACCAGCTGTCCACCGGCTACGATTATCCCCACGATCCGAAACAGCACAGCAGGCCTCGCTTCGTTCCTGATGCTGCCTACCCAGGGAACTGGGCCTAAATGCCTCTAGACTACCTGGAGGCCATTCCGTAATTTACTTGATGAAAATGTACGTGAAGATAATGATCCACCCGTCTCTGAACAGTGACCAGGCTTGACACATAAAATGCCACGATTTCACTTGAAGTTTCTGCGCGTCCCTGGGTCTCTACCCCGCCCCACTTCCGTCTGAGATGTTTATAATGTGCAAACGTAGAATAACGGAAACACGACCCCAAGTCAGAAAACGGCAAACTACCAAAATGCTCCCGAGGCCAAATCCAAACCATCCCAGCCTCAGCTCCGACCGTGGGAAGTCCAGGCACCTCGAGGGCAGGGAGGGAACTGGGCTGGCAGGGAGGGAACTGTGCTCGAGGGATGCGGTGACCAGGCCGAGGCCACCGGCGCCGGCTAATGCGGGACGACCCTCGCCGGCA